TGCAACCCCCCACCCTTACACCAATTCAATTCACCCTGTATGTAAACCTAACACTAACCTTCACTGTAAAAAACCCTCCTCATTTACTTACCTCTTCTTACTTCCAACATATCCTGCCATGAGCTCCACAGTTGCTACTGGTGGGGATGTGACTGCAAGTCTCTGGGGTAAGGGAAGAGGGGTTTAAAGTAGATGTGTACAATAACTGTACAAAAATAAGATTAAGACTTGTACTTCTTCAAGCCCATTGAGTGATTTCTTTAAGAATTCTTTTACAGATAGTGTATACTGCCCCCTACAGGAGGTTGACACTCTGGCAACCAAAAATTAAAAGCATGCCCAGCATGCCTCCATTTTGTGAGTGAGCACTACATAGGCCCAATAACAAGGAGGGGGGTGGGAGCAGAACCTGTATCCCTCAATGGACAAAAAAAAAAAAATTACAGTAAGTACAAAAATATAATTTGTTATCCTTGATTGAGGAACACAGCAACTTAGGAATTGTATTACAGTCAGAATGTCCAAAAGCAGTCCACTTGGTGTGCCATACATTTGAATGGCACCCCAACACATCTTACTAGGGTTGACACCTTTTCTTCAAGCCAAACCCGAACACTGTAGCACCTTAACAGGATTCCAAAACCGGACTGTCCGGGTCATTCCCGTACGGGTGGCAACCCTACATCTTACCGATGGACACTCAACGGGTGTGCCCTAATGTGCATTACCACATGATGTAGTGTGAACAGGTCAATAAAGACCTGGGGCACATTTCTGGGAAATTCTGAACTGGTTGCACAGATGAAAAGCCATCAAGCAGGGGACCCAGGTGTGAAACAGCACACTAATGCTGCAGGGACTCAGCTGTCAGCTGTGACAGCATGTCTACGAGTCAATCCAGTCATTATAGAGTAGTATATGATCCACCGTGCTTCTAGTGGTTAATCTACAAATCTCTACATTCAGGAAAAAACAAAAGCGCAAACATGTAAAAATATGATACATAAAAATGGCAATAAAGGGACTATGTCATTAAAAAAAAACAACTGTTGCAGTTATATAGTGTAGGCACCTAGGGGTGCAGTATCCTCTAGCACCGTTCTATTACAATTGAGTCCTGGACACTCTTTATGCAGACCTCCAACAGTTCCAGGGAGTGACTACCTCCACCCCCACATATTTTTAGTAGCCCATTTCTATGATGGGCTGTGTCGCTGGCCAATAGGAATGTGTAGAAGAAAGAAAAAAGGCAGGCAAGCTTTGTTTTGCCAGTCAAATGGCCATGAATGCAGCCGTAAAAATCTGTGTATTTTGTGATTGCTGTTTTTTTTTTTTTTTTTAGTGCTGTTTATGACAGCTGATTCTCTTAAAAGCAAACACTGGAATAATAACTCTAAATATACTGTACTTCCCTTTTAACTGTGGAGGTTTGGGCATATTCAAAATCATAAATGCCTTCATTGCCTAATTTTAAACCTTTCTACTCTTCTATGAATTTCTTATAGGCCCTCATTAAAACCTTTACCCAAATCCAAGATACATTTTAATATATTAGAAATAAAACACGATAAAGCACATTAAAGTGGACTTTCCATGGCCAACAAAAGGTCTACTTCTTGCCAGTCCGCTGCCCCTCCAACACAAATTACTCTAAAATCCATTTGATAAAAAAAAAAAACCTTTTGCAAAAAATTACTTACCTTGGTCCGGGCTCTGACATGACCAGGATGCACGGGTGATATCACCGTGCTTCCCGGCAGAGTTGTAAGCTCAAAGTACTGTAAGAATGCACTCCAGTCCATTGCTAGAGAGCATTCTCATGGGATTTCAATCATGCAGCTCTGTTGGGAAGCACACTGATATCACCCGTGCCTCCTGGAAGCATTAAAGAATAGACAAAGATATTTTATCTTTTTTGGGGGGGAGGAAACGGTTTGTGTACAAATGGCTTTATCAGCCTTTATCTGGCAGGTGAAAAAAGCAAGAGTCTCTTTACAAAAGCTGTTTCTGCCCAGGAGCTAGGGAAGTATGGCTCTCCCCAACATTAGATTGTACAACTTGAGTTGCCTCCTTAGGCACTCAGCGGACTGGATAAGTTCCTCCTCTTACTACTCCAACTTCCAGCTAGAAACGGAGGTGGTCCATGCTTGGAGACTCTCCTCCATCCTACACTGCCCATTTTCCACCATACCTCCTATCCTCCCTACCAACATTATTATTAGGGACACGGTAGTGGCCTGGAGGGACCTCCTGGCTGTCAGAAGTGCCCTTTTGGCAGCCAGGAGATGCATTATGAGAGAGTGGCTTGCCCCTAAATCCATCCACCGTACAGGGCTTAAGAACTGGCCACCTCACCTAGAAAAATAAGATGCTGAAACACAACTGGACAATGATAAGAAAACAAAGTTCCTTCTATGATAGATAGATAGTTACCATTTAACAATATAATCTTCACGCTCATAGAGAAGGAGCAATTTCTATCTCCCTTTCAATACACACCCAGCGTACTCTTAGAAAAGATTACAGGAACGAGTTAGGGGTAGAGTGTACACTCCCATACAATGGGTTCTATGGAAAGTTGCTAAAGTAAATGTTTAACGCATACACATACTGACCTAGTTGTTGAATGAGGGCGTACGAGGTCTTCACGTGTGAAAACGACATATTTGCTTCCGCTTCCCATCTCCTCGAAATAAGGGAAATTACAAAGGACATAAGGGAATGCGACACAAAGGGCGAAAAGCTGTGACTAAGGGCTCAACGTTGCTGCTTTATGCAATTGGCATATAGTCCATATGGATAGTAGAAAAGTATTTCTCATGTTCGAAATACTGACACAGATTGCTGTGTCACTTCATATTGGGTTTCTCTACATAAACTAAAATTCGTTAATAGCATAACAAACAAGGGGACGGTGATCATCACTCTCAGCTGGCGGGTCTATCCCACCATAGCTAATTCCGAGGATAGCCCAGATCATTACCAGGGTACTCTACCTACATACCTACATATCTCGTGAGTGAACGCTAGGACACGACATGTATGAAACCTGTTCTTGTTTATGTTTTTGTTTATGCTTTCAAATGTAAAGTACAGATCTTTCATTGCCTTCACATGTAACAACAATGCGTTATGTGTACGATGTTTATTATGTCAAGCTGCAATGTGCAAAGCAGTACACATACCAATAATGACCTGTTCTGTACTGTTCCTATTTCTTAATGCAAACCAATAAAAATGTTTGGAAAAAAACAAAAAAAACAAATGGCTTTATAAAGCCATTTGTGTTGGAGGAAAGGGGCTGGAAAAAAATGTACCTTTCTTGTCCACTTTAATAAGCTTTCATTATAACTCAGATCATGTTCAGCCTAAATGTTCTGATGTGTTACAAAGTCGATAAACTTTTTAAAATAGGACACTGAAAGAAAACTATTCCAGAACTAATTTTAAAATATCTGATCATACATTGGGTGATTTGAGCTCCCAAATTAACTTCCTGACCTGGCAGAAAGAAGACCGATTGAGTCTAATGCTCACCAATGAGATTAAATATGAAAAGATGATTACCACAGTACATAATTATTCATGAGGAACACATCAGGAACAAATGGCCATGACTATGGAATGATACATTTTTCTTCTTTTAATGTTCTCTGTCTTCATGGAATAAGGAGGCATCACTTAAAACCCTTACCGTGACCCCTCATGTCAAGAATGGCTCTGCCTAGTAGCTTGCATGGTTCTGTGAAAGGCTGGACTGGTCATTATGGGCCATATTGCCTAATATCCAGCAATACAGCCTCAATTCAACCTCCTTCTTAACTGGTCAGTTGCCTGGCTGTCATACTGATTCTCTATGCTCAATAGGTTCCTATGCTCTGCCCACACACTGCAAGGGATAACTGATCATTTAGTCCTAGGGGAACTGTGTAAAGGACCTTTACTTACCTGATCCCTACTCCTGCAGCAGTTGGTGCTCACCTCGTCCCTCCTATGTTCCAGCTTGTGGACTCTCCCTAACGGTACTCACTTATAATGCAGGGCTATGGGCAGGACCGGATTTACTCTCTCTGCTGCCCCAAGGCCAGGTTCCTCAATGCGCCCCCCTACCCACCAAACCTTCCCCATGGAGAATGGCAGGCCTGCAGGCTGCATACAAGTGATCTCAGCAACATCGCCAGGATCACTTGTACAAAACAAGCAGCGGTTTTCCCTCTGTACATTTAGCTCTGCTTGCCCAAAACAGGTCTAAATGTAGAAAACAACTACACTCCCGGCGCCCAGAACTGCATGTCCCGGGCATCGGGAGATAGGAATACCACACCCCTGCTGCCCCTCTACTCCCTGCTGCCCTGAGGCTGGGCCTTGGTTGGCCTTGTGGGAAATCCGGCAGTGGCTATGGGCCCTTGCATTATAAACGTGATGACGCCTCTGACCACTAGAACAATCTATGCAAATGGTTTTAGATACACTTTAAAAAAAGGATGCAAATCTGCAGTTTGGACTTCCCTGGCTGCTTATAGTCTCAGGATCAGAATGAGAACCAGACAAATAGCAATTACAAAAGTAAGGCAACAAATGACAGCCTCAACATTTTTTTCATTTAGTTGGGTAAATATGAAAGATTTCATATGCATATATGATATTTACATTTACAACCAGCAGATGGAGCTCTAAGCACCTTTTCACATGTCTGCCAGACGTACCTGTTTTTTTGAAAAAAACGTTTGTTCAAAGAGCTGTGTCTGGCAGAGGCTACTGACTTTCAATTAGAGAGAGACAGTCTAAAAGCAAGCAGCTTCTGCTGAGCGCTAAATGTTCCCATAATGCTCTGTGAACGCTATGTCATAGGTGCACCTTTGATTATATGTTGATATATAAAAAATTATCTTATACAAAAAGTTAAAACAGATATAAAACCTCAGTTTATATAACATTGAGAGAAAACCATTCTTGAAAAAAAGTTATATTTAGTATAAATATTGACACTGCTTCCATACCTCAGGGAAATGGGGGTGAAACGTTGGCTCTTTGGTGCATATCTTCCATGTGTTGTTAATCAAGAGCTCTTCGTGTGCGTGGAAAAGCCCCGGGGTGGTTTCTGGTACAATGTTCAGTGATCCTCCTCCATTGACTCCAGTCACTGACCCATAATCCTCCGCTGTGCTCGTGTTCAGCCTGAGACAGCCAGGAGGGTGATCTTGTACATTAGTCTGGTACTTTAGCACTCCTCTAGAACAGAAAAACAGCAATGATATCTAAAATCAGTATTCTCAAGGGCTAATTAACTTGAATTTGAGAGGCCTTGAACTGCTGGTTACTTGGGTGATTGAAGAGCAGGTGCTTAGGGTTTGGAGTGTCTTCTGAAAGTTCACTGTGTGCTTGGCAAGCTGTTTCTACAATTCTGATTACATAAAATCTTACAAGCATCATGTCTTAATTGCTCTGAAGTCTGTTGATATTCTTTCATCAAAAGCAGGAACTGATACATAATAAAGAGAAGTTTCCCTAGACTGGAAGTGCTTAACTACTTCAAGGCTTAATGGTCATGGCCATCGAGTTTTAGGATGAGTTTACCCTTTTGCACTGATGGGACAAGCAGCTAAATGCATGAAATCATGTGTTCCACGTTGTGGTGTCATTTATTCTTAGTAGCATCTCAACGCGCCTTGCTGTTGCGTTTAAGTGCATCACAAAGGTGAAAACCTAGCCTTGTGCTATGCTTATGCATACTGCCCAACCATTTCAGATCTCTTTTTTCCCCCACCAAACTTACTGACACTCGGCAACACACAGAATCATTGGTTACTAGGGTGCTAGCAGCGTCAGTAGTTGCTAGCATGCTATCATCCAGGACACATAGCATCATTGCATGCTTCGCAGATGCACCATAACAACCAATGATGCTGTGGGGCTGTCTGTGCTCTAGCAACTGATGATGCTTTGCAACCAGCATGGCATCACTGGTTGCTAGGATGCTAGCAGCTGGATTGCAGAGCATCATTGATTGCCAGGATGCAGGTGAGTGTACCATGACAATCAATGAGGTTGTGGGTCCATCTGTGTCCTAGCAACAGATGAGGCTGTGCACCCTGCAAAGCTCCATTGGTTGTTATGTTGCCGGCTGCATCTTAAAAACCAATGACACTCTGTTTTCTAGTTGGAAGAGCATAGACGAGACTGAGTTAGGTTTGCTTGGACGTTCCTGAGTGTCTGTCTGGGTTTGGCTAAGATTCAAGCTAACCGAACCCATGCACGCACACTGAACCCAGGCACATTCAGCTTATCACTGGTGGTGACCCATCTCAAATACATCTCAACCCATAGATCAAGAAGCACTGTTTTATGCAATAATAAAAACATGCTAAAGCAAGCTTGTAAGAACGTGCATGTATTTGAAAAAAATACATAATGTGGACATTTCAATATAAATTACGAATATGCACTCACAGAAATACACGATTTTAATTTTAAAGACAGAGAGCACTTTTCTGAGCTGTTGTAACCATTGTGCCCACTTGACAACCCCTACACAGCCCAATTATCGCTATATAATATCACAGTTATTTTCTTTCAAATCAGGTTAAATGATCAGTTGAAATGAGAAAAAATCCACCATCCCATTGGCTAATGTAAACGCCAGCAATATAGCACGTGCAGATGGGATTGCAGTAGGTCAAGTGACGTAAAAATCCAAAGGGCAATCATTTGAACAATTAAGTGTGAGATAACCATTAGTTATTTTCCCTCTGTGCTTAATGAATGTTCAGCTGTCTCTCTACATCTTTAAGTCATTAGTTATTAATGATTATCCCTTAAAGCTACGATGCGCACAGAACTGTAAATTCAGTCACAACAGCATTGCCGATGTCCCCTCGGGAAAAACATCCACATATTGTATTGAGCGGTTTAATCCTATGTTATATCTTAGTTCTTTCGCTTATACGAGAGGTTGATCTCTTTTTTTTTTTTTCTTATTCAGCGTTCTGAATGGGGCACTCCATTAAAGATTCATTATTCTCTGCTTGCAGCACAGTAAATTAGTTGTTATTTTTACTTACAGCAAAGTTGTTCTGTCTGCTGTGACGGAAGGCCCTACGAGCTATAGATAGCCTTATGTGTCTTTTTGATATTTTGAAATAGCTTCCTGAAAGCCATGGACTTCTAAAAGGTCAGTAGAGAAAACACTCCGACGACTGTAAAGAAGTGATGATCCAGTTTCAGTTTGCTTGGACTTTCCCCAGACCCATCCGGAAATCCGGGTTCAGCAAATGTTCTGTTTAAACTGCCTGTGTCATAGCCATCAATTACGCTGTGCAACCCACAAAGCACCATTGGTTGCTAGCACCTGGACCACACAGTGTCAATGCATGTTAGGCGGGTGCACCATAACAACCAATGATGCTGTTGAGCTGTCTGTGCTCTAGCAACCAATGACGCTGTGCGACCATCATGGCATCACTAGTTGCTAGGATGCTAGCAGCTGGATCGCAGAGCATCATTGGTTGCTAGGATGCAGGTGGGCACAATATGACATCTAATGAGGTTGTTGGTCTGTCTGTATGATAGCAACCAATAATTTTGTGTGCCCTGCATAGCATCATTGGTTTTTTATAGTGTCACCTACATCCTAGTGAAGGAACCAATGAAGCTCTGTGGTCAAGCCGCTAGTGTTCTAGTTGGTAGGACATAGGCGAGGTTTGTTTGGACATTCACTGAACTGACTGATGTCTGGGTGTGTAACAACCAATAAAGTTGTGGGGCCATCTCTGTAACCAATGAGGCTGTGCGGCCACAAGTGATGAGGGAGCATGGAGACGGCTTCCCGGCCAATCAGGAAGCTGGGCAGCGTGTAATTACTTGCTGCCCGTCTTCCTCATACCGGAGTATCGGGCTAGGTATTGGAGCTTTTGGGCGAGTACGAGTACTCGCCCAAATACTCGGCAATGGCACAGATACTAGTATCGGTATCAGTGCATCCCTATTATAAATTATTTTATTCAGCAAGGACATTGTGTCACTTTTGTAATTCTCAAGACAGGAACTCAGGAAAAGAGGCCGCAGGATTAGAGTCTCAAATAGAACAAACCTTTGGGTCAATCCAGTATCTTTTTAAAAGTAGACATGTGCGAAACGAAAATCTGACGAATTTTCAGAAATTCTGACAAAATTTCGGAAATTTGGACATTCAGAATTCCGAGTTGCAGCTATGACGAATGCAAACGAATCCGAATTTCCGTTTCCGAAATTCGTTAGCGGTAGTCTGTACGAAATTTAGTTTTTTGGATGAAATTTCATTGCAGCAAATTGACATTAGAGAAAAAAAAAATGTTTTTTTTCCTTGAATGTCACTTTGCTGCAACGAACGAACGACCGAAACGAAACTTCACAGACTACCGCTAACGAATTTCATCCGTATTCGAATTCCGAAACAAATTGATTTTCGGACCTGAATCCCGAAAAACTAAATAACGCAAAATCCGAATCAAAACTAAACTAAACTAAACAAATTTTTTGCTGGTGCAGATGAAATTATTATTCACTAAAAAGTGAATAATCATTTCAGAGTGGACTGGCCCTTTTAGAACAATAATGATTTATCACATTATAGCCTTTAATATCTCAGAATGTATAGATTAAGATTATTAGCAATATTAACATTGGTGACACTTACCCAGAGGCATGGACCAGCAGCAGCACATAGAAAATAAAGAAGAGGTTGTGCGTGTGCAAGAAGATATCGAAATTTGAAGCTCTAAAAAATGAGAACGAATTAAGAATATTACCTCCCTCATAAATTAAATATATTCTATACCAAGTAATACATCATTTTAAAATGTCACAAAACCCCAAATTAGATTTTTCAGCAGAGGCTTCAAAACCCGATTCCCTGACTAGGTGCACTCTTTCCTTCTTAAGAGATTTCATGATTGATGCATGATGGATAGCGGCTCTTCTATGTAGCCTTGCTTTCATATACAGAGCAACAGCATGCAGCAGTCTACAGGACACGTCACACCATCCTCTTACCCACCCATCCACATATCGGACTATGCAGTGTGAAGAAAAAGAAGGGAGATCACATGACCACAGCAAGGAAAGTAAAAAATATGTAATTGCAGTGATTGCACTTCTGTGATATATGGAGCATTTGTTTACTGTAAGTATCCACTAACCATATGGCTAAATTGGTTTACTGATACTTAAAAGGCAAACTCCATTTTCTGTTTTCGATGACCTAGAGAAAGGCTAGAATTTCTGTCCAGTTTTTATTTCACCTGTGTCCCTATGGTAAAATGTCAGGCATTGATTGTCATTTGGAACAGTGTTCTCCTTACAGACAGCTAACGCAATCATTGGTGTTGGTAGTTGCTTATTTCAGAAACCAGAGGAAAAGCTCCACTGTTCCTATGCTGCTGACTCTGCTGAGTGGTGTTTGTGCTAGAACTATGCGGGCACCATAGAGATCAAACCATGACTGCCAATTGCCCAAGGAACCTCTAAACAACCTCTGGCAGAGCCTTAGGATTCCATGGAACCCTGGGTGAATAAAGCTTAGGTAGACCCTCACATTCCATGGAATTAGTAAATCTAAGGGCGTTTGTAAGGACATTGTACAGATTTTAATGTGTACGGCTAGGTATAGTATATGGCAATGAAATTAGGCACCCTCTGGTTCACTTTTACATAGCTTCAAAGTCATGAAATCAAACCATCACTGCCAATTTCCCAAGGAACCCCTAACAACCTCTGGACGAACCCTAGGATTCTATGGAGCCTTGGGTGAGAAAGTCTAAGGTAGACCCTCACATTCCATGGAATAAGTAAATCTAAGGCAGTTTGTAAGGACATTGAACAGATTGTAATGTGTATGGCTAGCAATAGGGAAATCAAAATGGGCACCCTTCAGTTCACTTTTACATACCTTCAAAGTCATCTGGACGAACCCTAGGATTCTAAGGAGCCATTGGTGAGAAAGGCTGAGGTAGGCCCTCATTACATGGAATCAGTAAATCTAAAGACCTTTGTGAGGATATTGCACAGATTGTAATGTAAATGACTAGCTATGGGGAAGTAAAAAAAGGCAATCTTTGGTTCACCTATGCATACCTTCAAAGTCATTCACACAGGAGCGGTTGTCCGCGCATATTCAGCCGTACGAATACGTATGGAACCGCTCTAAACATAAAAAAACACTGCACTTTAATGTGCATTGTTTAGACTTTTGCAGTGGCAGTGCGGTACGAAACCACGTAGCCCACAGATCAGTAAAGAAGAATCCTTCCGCACTTCTTACTAGTATGTCCCTTGTGGTGGGTGCTGTAGTGCCTGGATGGCACCGCTTCAGATCCAAATAGTACAGTATGTCACCAGCACACCATGTTCAATCTTCAATCAGTGATCATTTTATTGATGCACACACATTTTATCACATTGCAATGTTTCGGGGCCACTTCCGGATGATGGGGCAATGTGCTCAGATGTGTGTGCTTCAATAAAATGATCATTGCTTGAAGATTGAACCGTGGTGTGCTGGTAACATACTTTACAATTCCGCATGTTTGCAGTTATAGTAATAGCCACGCAGATTAAAAATTGTTAGTGATTTCGTGCCACGCGGTCTTCCGAATGGAAAGCAGCTTGGGAATCGCAAATGCTATATGTAAATGGAGCCTAAGTATTGAGTTGCCAAATACTAGCTAAACGTTGAAATCAGAAGTGGAAATTCCTATGTTTTAGAGCAGTAGTCTCAAACTCAATTTAGTTGGGGGCCACTGGACACATTTTTTAGTCCCGTGGGGGCAGCTACTATATACGGTACAAGTTTTAATATATGCATATGTTACAAGCAGCAACTGTCACCGATTCAAATTAATGATTGGGTGACAGACGCTGCATGTACAAGCCCGCACACCGTATGTAATCATATGTGAAAGGATTACATGCAGTTAGGAATACTTCCCAGTGCTTAGTTTTTTGTTTTTTTTCAACGTATCAATGGAATTTTTTTTTTTTTAAATGCTACATTTTTTTTTCACTTATCAGATATAACAAAACACTTTTAGTTATATATTTAACAGATAAAATTGGAGCAAATAAGAGATGCCATGTCGCTTTTCTAATTCTATATAGCCCTTAGAGTGCAGCTGGGGTGGCTGGACCACAAAGGAATTTAAAGCCTTTCATTTACAAATCTCTTGGAAAGTGAAATGGTTGCTATTCATATATTCCACCTGTTCATTTGGAAAAGCTTTCTAAGGGCTGGTATGCATTGGTACTGAATGCAGAACCGTTACCTTATGGATGCTGTGGAAGCAGTGGACATAAGAAATAAAATTAGAACCATTAGGACTCCGGTCACTCCAGGAACTACAAATAAAAGAAAACACACAAAACACATTAAAATATATGAACAGAATAAGAAAAAGCACATCATATACCAGGATAGGATTTAAAAACAGGTCACTACAAAGGGTACACACGTTACATGCGTTAGTACATTTTAGTGCTATTCAATTTGCAAATTACAACCTACAACCTACCTAGAGACACAACGGTTTTAAAACATTAATACACATTGAAAATATTATATGTATTGATTGATTAAATGAACAGTATATGTATGTGTTTAGATGCAGGGGAGCTAAACTTACAAACAACAGTGACGGTAGAAAAAAAATGAGTCTGCCCCTTTCTGATTTTTTTAGTTTTTTATTGTTATTTTTTGTTTTGCTGGTTTTTTTACTTTTTGTCTGAGTATCAACATGTGTCCCAAGCATGTAAAATTCCCTTACTGTTGACTGACGCTACCTCTGCCAGAAGGAAGTCTCTTCCAAGTGTCAACTACTCTTATAGTAATTATTTTAAAGAATAGTTTTTAAATGTCCTTTTTGTTAGTTTGAGGTCATGTGTCTGTGTTCTTGATCTAAGCTTCACTTTGATATTGCCTTCCTGAAACTTTTTCACATCCTTAAAAGAAAAATATGAGGTAAGCATTATGTATTTTCCCATAGTTCTCTTTAGGGTCATGTGAGGACATATACTAACGTCCTCCTGTGACCCATAGCTCAGTATATAGCGAGCTATTACCCACTATATGCTGAGAGTGACGTAGCCGGGATAGATTCCGACAATACTGTTGAGATCCACCCAGCTGGCTGATTGACAGCAGGCTCTGCCTATCTAGAGGCAGACCCAGCTGTGTCCGCCTCTGCACTGGAGGATTGAAGAGGGGAGGGGGGAGTACCTGCAGGGAGCGGTGACTGACAGCCACTGCTCTCTGCAGGGAGATGATCAGAAAGTGAGAAAGCAATGGTATGTGTTCGCTCACTTCTTGATTAATAGAGGTGACGTGTGACAGCTTGAATGTCAAACGTCGGCTCTAACTATGAGGATGAGATTAATGTATTTAAAGGTTTCAGTCATGCCTCACTTTTCACTTCTTTTTTCAAGACTGCACATATTTGTTGCCTATCTCTGGACTTGTTCTATCTTACTAATATATTTTTGAAAGTGAGGCCTCCTGAACTGGATACCGTTTTTCTAAATTAAGTCTAACTAAAGATCTATATAGGGGAATCAGAACCTCCTTCCTCCTGATAGGAAACCCTCTAGTGATCACTAAAGATCTATACTGGGGAATTTGTCCCTCCTTCCTCCTGTTGGGGGATCCCTCTAGTCATAACTAACGATCTATATAGGGGAATCAGAACCTTCTTCTTTCTGCTGGTGGTCCCTCTAGAAATAACTAAAGCTCTATGTAGGGAAATCAGAACCTCCTTCCTCCTGCTGGTGATTTCTCTAGTGATTACTAAAGAACTATATAGGGGAATCAGAACATCCTTCCTTCTGCGGTGATCCCTCTAGTGATGCACACCAACTACCTAACTACCTGATAGTTTCTTATATCTCTTGGTAGGATCTTTGCAATAAAGTTCTTGCATCTGGACACCTGCTGCAAGGGTTGCCACCTTTTCTTCCAGCAAAACCCAAACACTCTAGCAACGCACGGAAATGTTTGGGAGAGAATGAGTCGCGGCTTACTCATAATAGACTATTTTCAGTGGGGGGCCAGTAGCCCCTATCTTAATGTTGGTTGCCCCTGTCTGCCTGACATCTTGTGTCCGGGTTTCAGCTGCCATGAAACCCGGACACAGCATTCAAAACCCGGACTGTCCGGGTGAATCCTGGACAGGTGGCAACCCTACCTGCTGCTCCCCAGTTGGATTTTTTGAAATGTATTTTATATTATGAAGAATGTAACATACGTATCTGGAACATGCAAAGGTGGGTAAAAGGATCTATGGAAGATAAAAATCCAGGGGTTTGACTTAACATAGCAGGCTTAACCTATAGCTGTAATGTCACTGCTTGGTGGACTCACTCTTTAATATGATCGCATGTTCAGATCTAAAATGCTAGTTTCTCTTTCAATGTGTCCCTCTTTCCCATTTCAGGTATTTTACGAATGTGT